GGAACTACAGTAGGGTGGCACCTTACAGCACCAGGGGACCCACATGGGAGTAGCTGAGGAAGCAGAAACCAGAGGAAATAAAGGACTGACAGTGCTAGTGGGAAGTCAGCTCCTACAAGCCTGCCAAAGACTGGGAAAGGGCAGGCATAGAGGCCACTGCGCAGCTCTGCTCTCCAGGAATAGGAAAGCCCTTTATCAGTTTTAATTCAAGGTGATGTTTTTGGGAATTTTGTGGGTCTGGACATTCAGACTTTATTACAGGCTTAGAGAAAGTGACAGAACTTGAATGCACACTGCTATCATTTGAATATGGCCCATGTGTTAAAGGTTTGGTCCTTTCGCCAGTGTCAAGGCACCATCTAGGAATATAATCATCTGCCAGAGCCCCCTTATGCTCATGCTACCACTTCCTTTGCTGTGCTGCCCAACTGCTTTGTGCGTATTGAGAGGGGAGAGGTCTCTAACTGCCCAGGTGGGTGGCATGTGAGTGATTTCATTCTTCTCCAGCATGAAGATGTGGACAACCATGGGTTTTCCTACTGAAAAGGCAGGGATTCTGTAGGCAGCTACTTCATACTTGTAAGCATCCCTTATAGCCCCCAAGAAAATTCTACTCCCTAGTCCCCAGAACTGTGATTACATGGCAGGATATGTATGTTGAAAGTGTGATGAAAGTTATTGCTGACTTTAAGATGGGGAGACAATTCTGGATTAAGTGGACCTAATGAAATATTATGGGGTGTAGAGATAAAACAGAAGTCAGAAAAATGCAGAAAAGGAAGTAAAAAGATTTGATGTATTGTTGTTGGCTTAAGATGGAGGTAGCCACGTATCTAAAACAAAGGCCTCAGTCCCACAAAAAGGGACTAAGTTCTGATTACAACAGTTGGGTTAGGAAGAGAACCCTGAGCCTTAGAGGCCTAGTTGATACCTTGGTTTTAGCTGTGAGAATCTACTACAAATTTCTGACCTACAGAAACCGTGAGATAACTCAGAGATGTTGTTTTAAGCTGCCACATTTGTGGTCATTTGCTACAGCAACAAAAGACTAATGCCATGCTGCTGGGCTTCACCTTGTACATCTGTCAAATGGGGGCACAATAGCTTATCCTTCTAAGGAGCTGTTGTAAGGACAAAATGATGCAGAGGTCCTAAGAGTACTCTGCAAAATTTCAAGGGGAAGGGGAAGGGAGAAAGAAAAAAAAAAAGGAAAGGAAAGGGAGCTAAAGGAAAGGAAGAAAAAGAAAGAGGTACACTACAGCCAAAGACCAGTGAAACTGTCCATTTTCTTTACAACAAAGGCTGTGAGAATAAGAGAATGTCAAGACTGAAAGGCCCTTTGAAACTACCTGGCTCTAATGGTAGACGATTTGAAGCCTAAAGGTAGAGGGACTTGCTCTACAGAGGCAGTGACAAAGGTGTTGTTGGACCCCTATGGCTCCTACACAGAGTTCTTTCCATCTGCCCCATGTTGCTTTTCCACTACCTCTTTTGCTCAGCTTGATAGCCAAGTAAGTTTCAGTCGTTTTAATTCCCCACACTGCTTTCACCATTACAAAATGTCACTGAAGCACAATGCCACATGCAAAGCAATGCAAGAAGAAGGCAGTTGTGGACTCGATCTTACCAACCACTCTCAACCTATCAAATCAGCCTTAACCAGTGCTTCTCAAACTTTAATGTGCATAGGAATCTCTTGGGAATCCTGTTAAAATTCAGATTTTGATTCCAGGTGTCTGGGGAAGATCCCAAGAGCCTGTGTTTCTAACAAGCTCCCAGGTATGTTGATGCTGAGGCTCAAGATGGATCACATTTTGAGTAGCAACACTTGCAGATGTTTTCATCAGCTTTATTTCTAACCATCTTCTCCATTCACCTTTGGGATTTTTTCTAATAGTGAGGAACAGTGTGGCATGTTAGAAATAGGAAGCCTTCTATAGCTTCCATTGCTGATTTTTATGAATTCCTAGTGTATGATCTTGAGCAAATCATTTCTCATATCCCTGCTCCTCGAGTTTCCTGACCTGTAAGATGGGACTGTCAGCTATCACATAGTAATGTCAGGAGGCCTGAGGGAATGATAAAGCTGTGCTGTGAAGTGGACAGTACAGGAAGACTCCTAGGTCAAAAGAATTCTGTACTTAGATATCCTTAGATTTGTAGAAGACAACATGAGCAGTAGGCAGTGTCGTTCCTGACATTGTTTTCATGACAAAACTGCAAATGGAGACCATTTATGCTAGATAGTCTGCATACTTTATTGAAGGTCACATGAATGGGCCCCAGGATCTCATTTTTTTTCTTATTGATTTCACACACATAGTTCACATAGGCAATCTGTTAAGCCCTCTAGTAATGTCCTTGGCATCAAGTGCTTCCTTTCCCCATGAAAATGAAGGCTTTTCTTCATGGAAAATATCTCATCTAATTATCTTGTGTCTCTCTGCCTTTTTTATTGTTTCTAAGCTTTTACTGGGCTTCTAATGGTGTCAAGGCCACTTTTCTGCTGCTACTTTAATGGTAGCATCACTGATCTACATTCTCTCAAAAGCAATTCTTTTCTACTTGCAGAACTACTTCCTCTACTCTTTTATTTTGGGCAGTTATTACAGAACCAAGGGACTTCTTGAACAGAGAAGGATTCTTCCCAATGGTAGCCAATCATTTTAGAAATACTCTATATGACACTATTTTACTATTAAAATTGGATGCTTAGTTTTGCCCTTTGCTGGCTAGACACCCCTCATACCTCTTTTTTTTTTAAAACTTTGAAAATAATAATTCAATAGTATTTCTTTTTCTGCATGATCTCTTGACTTTTGCTGTCACCACAGAAAAACTTTGTAGGGATTTGACCCAAGTCATTAAGTATCACAGAGGCACAGAGACCCTTCCTGATTCTCCAACTATATGTGTGTGGTTGTCACCAGTTTTTTGGACTGAAATTGGGCATGCTACAACCTTGGTAACATACTGACAGAGTACAGAGACATAAACACAGACCTTTTTCCTTTGAAAAATGGTGAAGCCAAGGACTTTGCTGTTATTTACTTTGTACCCTTGAGCTGGTTACTTAAACACCTGGGCCACAAATTCCTTTATCTGTAAAATGAGATAAGTACTTGCATGATTGTTGTAAGGATGAAATGAGATAATGTATTATGAACACCTAGCTCTTAGTGGGTGCTTAATACGTGTTAGCTCCTTTGTTATCGCTGTCAGTTCAAGACTTACAGTTCATCTGTTGCCAGTTCTCTGACTTACTGGCCAAGGTATGCTGATAATTTCCCATAGCTGCCACTCTGATTGTCACCCTCTTTCCACAGCCTCTTCTGAATGATTTTGTATCCATCAAGCCAAGGCCAAGCCAATCTCAGTCCATGATGGCATACCTCACCACAGAAGCTTTTGCTCTTTGAATCAGTGACAAAAGGAGGCCCTGTGCTTAATTCTCTGGGGACAGCTCAGAACAAGGACAGAGATAAATAGACACTGCTCCCTGGCCTCCAACAAGACTGGTGGTCCCAACTTGCCAGCCTTGGCTCTTGTTCTGTGTCCCAGGAATCACATTAATGTCATTGCCAAGTTTCTGGATACTTCTTCCACTAGGATTTTAATGCCTTTCTCTGCCTCTCAATAATATTTTCCCCAAAGAAAGCCAGTTAAACTATGTCTTTACTATCTCCAAAGGTAATGAAGTCCCACTGGACACTGCTTCTGTGACCAAATTCTGCTCATCTGCCTGTTTCAGTCAGTCATATAACAGGACAGAGACCAGGGCTCAACAAGAGGCCAGCAAGCCTCAGAGAGATTCCCTTTCAATAATGACTAGCAGATGGAATAATGATCACTTGACTCTCTTGCTCCTGGTATTTTTAGCAATGTGGCCTTTGAGACTGAGTAGAGTGGAGAGTACAATGGGGTCACCTGCACACATGTTGGTTTAGAACAGCACCAAGTTCCCCTCAATTACCTGAACAAAGGCTCTTGATGTATTTGGCCTACCTGTTCCTAACTCACAAATAAACCATGTTTGGAGTTCAGTCCTGAAATGGACTACTGCTTTTCAGTAATGCTGCCTAGTGGCATCTCAGAGTTGGTTTGGACATATATGAATGCATTCTCTCTCCTCTCTCTCTCTATACTACGAGAAGAGTGTAAGTAAGAAAACACTTTCACACTGGGCCGCATCAATAATTTTACAGACCCTGAAGACCGGCTGAGGTCCAGGCATCTGCACAGTGATACTTTTTCCAGCAGCTTCCCTTAAATGGACAGGATTGAGAAATGTCTATTCCTCAGATGTCTGACCTACTACACTGAGCTTTAGTTCCCTTTCAATGATTCAGACAAGGACCAGGTAAAGGGGACCAGGTGCTTAGATCTTGAAATTTTCCACTTAGTAGCAAATATGTAGGGCTCAAGAAAAATAAAAAAGCCAAACCCTCAAAATGATGGCCATTAAAGCCACCAACCATAATGCCCCTTGCTAGATAAATGTGATGTTATGGAAAGAATCTTATATAGGAGCCCAGGGACCTGGGATCTTGTCCTGTTGTGGTCACTAACTTACTCTGCCTGTAAACTAGGCTGTTAGAATAAATGCATTTGAAAGGCCCTTCTAATCAAATACTTTATGGGTTGTAAAGAATCTTTTATCTTAAAGCCTTGGTTCTTAGCCTTTATTGGGTCACAGGCCCATTTGAAATTCAGTAGAATGTTATGGACCACCTGCCCAGAAAAGGCATACTGTTGTGGACTTGTGCATAACATCTCAGGGGCATCATGCAGTTCCTGAATTCACAAACACAGGGTTAACATAGGCTTTCTTTCAGGAGATAAAGGAGCATGGTGGCTGGAGGCAAACATGAAACAACAGCGATAACTGCTGGGCCTCAACCCATCTGAACAACTTTTCCTTGCATTTCACCAAGAATGGAATTCCAACAGGACAAACACAGTCTGCTTTTTAAAAGAAAATGTTTTCAGATTTTTTTTTTCTTTCTCTTGATTGCTTGGAAAGGAAGCTGTCAGGTGAAAACAGGAGGACAACAATCCAAAGAGGCATAGGCTCTGTTTGACATGCAAAACATGCTTGGCAAATTTGTCCTAAGCAGCTGTAGGCAAGCCCACATGCGGGTAGGGCACTATGGGGTCATCACGCACACTGGCCCCATGGGAGCAGGCAGGCTCTTGGCAACACACTGCAGCACCAGGGCGCCAACCTGGCACCAATGTCCATATCCTCAGTATTAAGATTCTCCAATGTTCTCCTAACATTCCTACTCCCCTCCAACAAATGGGGCAATGCCCTCCAACTCAAGTGACCTTTCAATTAAAATAAGACCCCTAAGATGGATTTTTATCCTTAGATCTTTCAGGGTTTGATGGCCCTTTCAAAAAGCAGGAAGCTCTGAGAAGTGAAATCTAGGCTTCCCTCTTCAAGTCAACTCAGTGGATAGCTTGGTTTCCACAGATTCTGGGTCTTGAGGGAGTCCAGCCATTCACAGTGTCACAAGAGCTCAACAGACCTTTTGAGGGGATGAAAACGAATACATAGGAGAAATAAACATGTGTCTAGGACATGTGCCCCTTATTTTATAACTTCTAGAGTCTGAAGGTGCAGGGCCAGAAAAGAGCTGCTCTTCAACACAAAATGACGCAGCACACAAGGGTTTGAAGTAGAGCCTTTCAGAACCTGGAAAGGGTCTCCAAAGGCCAAGGCTCTTAAAACCTGAAAGGGAAAGAAGAAAGCAGGGAATTAGGTAGGACTGGTTAAACACTTGACAGTCACTCAGCAATGGGCCTTTCTTGGTAGGGAACTAAGCCTACAATTGGTAGCTGATCCTCTGCAAAAAGGCCCTTATATTTCAGGTCCCATGAAACAGGTCCAGGTTGGGTTATAATCAGGACTGGAGATTTTGTACCTTCACCCTTAAGTCTAATTCTCAGAAAGTCTACCTGAGAGAGCTGAAGTCTGATACTGAACTTTTGAGATTACCCCCAATCAGAGTCACTGCCTTTGTGGCTCTACGATATCTCCCAATTTCCTTTTACTGGGGCTTCACCTTTATGGAGGCTGATGAGGAGAAGGTTATCTACCCGTGGACCTCTGAGGACTGGTAGTGACAGAGAGAAAAGGAAGGTTAAGGAGCACATAGCAGGCCAAATTCCAGATACCTGGGTCTTGGTTATGCACATACTAGTTTATGTCATGCCAGAAATCGGATAGTCCAGCAATCAAAACTTCCAGGTCTCCTCAAAGTCATTTATCCCCTTTGAACTTCGTTCCTTTATGTGTTGAGTTAGAATACACATTATCCTTCTTACTTTTGGCATGTGATATGGATTGAATGACATCAGAGATATGAAAGTCCTCTACACTAGACAACTAAAAAGGACTAAGCATGAAGGTTCAGGTGGCAATGACAGAAATAGTGATTTAGTCTGAAGGAATGAAGTCCCTCTAAAGATACAAAGGTAGCCTCTTGGCACCTATTACAATACCAAGAAGGAGGTTACTGGTTTCCTTATAGACTCAAAGAATGTCAGAGTTAGATGGCTCCAATTTCTCATTTCACAAAGTGGGGAACTGACACTCAAAAAAGGAAATGTGGCTGGGTGCAAAAGCTCAGGTCTATAATCCCAGCTACTTGGAAGTGGAGTTTGGGAAGACTGTGGCTCAAGACCAGTCTGGGCAAAAAGTTAGCAAGACCTTCATCTCAACAAATTAGCTGGGCATGCCTGTGGTTGTAGCTATGTGGGAGGCCATACAGGTAGGTGGACCAAAGGGCAGAGCAGGCCAGTCCTGGGCAAAAACTCAAGACCCTATCTAAAAATCAACCCCAAAACAAAAAGGGCTGGGAGCATGGCTCAAATAGCAAAGTGTTTGCCTAGGAAGTACAAGGCCCAGAGTTCAAACCCCAGCACCGCAAAAAAAAGAAAAAGAAATGTACTTACCCAAATTTTACAGTTTAGGATTCCAAGTGAATTTGATTAAAAGGCAATCTGTAAAACTACACTATAGTTTGGCTGGGCAGAATGAAAGGAAAGAGGAAAGTGACCGCAAATCACACAAAGCCTCAAAGAATTGAAAGACACTAAGTTTAATTAAGGACCATGTAATTTTAGGATAATGAACTGAGGCATGGAAATAAGTTCCCACCTCCCTGGACCTACACAGTATTCCAGTCCTCAAAAACTTAGATCACATGAAGAAGACTTATTGGAACAAGGTTCTGTAATCAGGGGAGGATGCTACACATACCTGTGGCTTCAACTCTCATCTCCTGGGAGTCTGCCTTGAGAACTGTAGGCAAAAGAAGAAAGACAATTCATTTGTTTTGTTTTGTTTTTCATTTTTTTGAGACAGGCTCTCACTATGTAGCCCAGGCTGGCCTTGAACTTGAGATCTTCCTGCCTCAGCCTCCCAAGTGCTGAGATGACAGGTATGTACCACCATGCCTGGCTAAGACACTTTAATAAGACTCTGAAATCAGGACTGGAAAGGCAAAGCAAGGAGATGGAGACTCTTCTAGCACAATGCTAAACAGATCACATGAAAACAGGGAAGTGATTCTGCCCAGATGCTTCAGAGCATCTAGTTCCATGCTTACAGGTTGGGCTACTTTACTCTTGGTAGGCTTAGCAAAACCAGTCTCTTAGACATGAAGTCATCTTTCAGGTACCAGAAGAATCCTCCCTATGGTGGATGCCTCACTGAACTTGGCCCAAGTCACACACTATATTATGTAATCATTTCTAATAGGGAAAGAAGGCAGGGGAAGTACCATGTAAAAGATGAATCTTCCCTTATCTTGAAGACCGAACCAGCCCTGCCTGCCCTGTTGATGTGCTTAAGTCAACCTTAAATTAACCTTGTGTGGGGACAATTGAGGGATAGAGATAATCCAGGAGAATAAATTCCCTGACAGTGTGGCCAGAGTACCCCACACAATGCTAGTTCCGACAGTTATGCCCTTGGTCTTCTGTTTTTCTCTCTTCTCTTGAAACTGTCTATACCTATTATTTGAATGATCTTATTTCCATCCACGGTTTCAATTACCACCCAATATTTGGAACCTTCCTTCAAAGTGTTATTATTCATACTGTAGTATATGTGGTTGTGCCCTGAATGGACTTATACAGTGGCTGTACTCAACAGTTCTACCCCCAAATCCAGGTGGGACCCACCCCAACTGCTAGCCTAAGTTCCAGTTACCCACTGGACATCTCTACCTGGAAGTCCCACAGTTTCTTCAAAATCACTCAATAAAATCAAGCACAGCAACTTTCTCACAGAACCTGTTCTTTATGATTAATTATTATACCATCTACCTAACAGCTCAAATTTGACTTTTCTGTCTCCCACTCCTTCTATAATGCCCCTTGTTTGAAAAGACAGCAGAGTCTTATTGAACTGATCTCAAATCCATCCCTTCTATTCCACTCCTATGGGAAATGTCATAGGCCAGGACTTTCATCAACTCCTGCCAGGATCATTTGTCCCCTAATTGGTCTGCCTGCCTCCAATCTTTATTCTCCTATCTGTTTTCCACATTACCACCAGTGTGATCTTCTTAGAGCTCAGGCAGCTCAGAACATGTAGTCATGCTTGAACATCTTCCATGACCACAAAGGACTACAGTACAAAGAACAAACACCTCAGTATGTCATACAGGACCTTTGCTATCTGGCCCCAAGCCACTTTCCTGGTCTCACCTTCAGCTAAGCTTCCCTCTTCTCATTCCCACATTTGAGCCTAGATTTCATAGACTGAGCGGCCCTGTGCAATGCCCTCCCCTGCTTCTCTTCTTGATGAGCCTCTACTCATTTTCTTTCGAGTTTTTTAATTTTGAAGAAGGCAAAGGGGATGAGATGTCATTTAAATGTCAGGCTAAAGTCATTTGCTACAGTATGCAAATAGGAAGCAAAAAGGAGCCAGGCACTGGATGTGTGACTAGTCTGAGGACCTTTCTCAGTGGCTAGCACATGAATGCACTCATGCAGTGGTGGGTAACAAGGTGGAACCTAGAAGAAAGGAATGTGTCCCCTATGTGGATGCTGAGTGGGAGGAACCTGTGGGTACCCAGGAGGGTAGCTCATGACATATTGGAGGGTATATGAATCCACTTTGGTTTTATCTACACTCCTTCCTAGATGGAATCTGGGGATAAAGAACAGAATTAAGCCTAGAAGCTATATCCAGAAGCCTGGATATAGGGCAGGCAGAGTGGTACTATAGCCTGAAGTGCCTGCTTTGGCCAAAGCCCCCTTTGGTTGTGGTTGGTCTGTCTTCTCTGAGCAATGGATGACAAACTCAAGCCCGGTGGCAGTGTTACCAATCTTTTCATGGTCTCAAAACCTTACAGGAAGTCTGCCTGCCCTAAAGATTCTTTTGAATTTGGTTCATGCTCCTTACATATTTCCTTCTTGATACCTTGGTTTCCTGTCCAAATGTACAGACCAATTCCTCCATATTTTCTGGGTATTTCTACTTACTTTTCAAGCCCCAACTCAGTTATCTCCTCTATAATGCTTTTCTTAAATTTGCCCAGTTCATTCTATTCATTCTAGTTTACTTAACTTAATTTCCTTGGCACTTATTTCTCAAATGGCTTATCTTAGGCAGGGAGAAAGGACCACTAGGAAGTAGTACTGCTCATAGGTTGACACTTTAGTAAGACCTAACTTAAGTTAGGTGTGTCCATACGCCATTATTTTCATTTCCTTTTTTGTTCTCAAGGTAAACATTTGGTTAAGTCTACATGTTTTTTGGTACTGGGGATGAACCCAGGGCCTTGTGCTTGCTAGGTAAGTCCATTTTTAAAGCCTCCTAAGTACAAACTTTTCTTCTTCTTTTTTGTAGTGCTAAGGATGGAACCCAGGCCTTACACATGCTAGGAAAATGTTCTACCATTGAGTCATGTCCCAAGCCCCCCAAATTTTATCTTCATGCCATTGGAAAGAGAAATTTGGGACATGACCTTACTTCATCTGTTATGGTAAATAAATGGTAAATTATTATCTAAGGGGAATGTGACCCAGCCTAGAGCTGCACTAGGGTTACCTGCCATGCAGAATCATGTTTTTGGTGAGTCAGTTCCCAGTATGGATGAAAGGATATCAAACCTACCCAGTTCCACTGCTAGTAAAGACATACTGCTCTGCTTTTAAATGGCCACTGAGAGGAGTTCATTCCTATTAACTTGTTAGGAAGCACAGTTTCAAACTCTCTGATTAACAACGTGTAACAAACTCACTGAAAAAAGCCCTGAAGGCTAAGCAATCATTTCTCCGAGTTCTAGTTCAAAGGATCCCAAATGCCTAGGCCTTAGATAGTCGGTACCTGCATTTGAGAGGTTTTAAAAACAAATGGAAGGAATGATGAGAGGGAGGGAGGGAAGAAATAAAAGAAAAAATCGATTCCCAGACCCTACTGCTAGAGATTTTGTTTCATAATGAGTCTATAGAGTAGAAGCCAGCAATCTGTGATTTCTGTTTTCCTCCAAGTTTTCCAGGAGATTTAGTTGTACAGCCAGTCTGACTACCATTGCTAAAGTCATCTGTTTACCTTTGAAATGGGAACCATGCTTATTCTGAAGCTGTTTATGGTAGACTTATATTCTACATGCCCCTGTCAACTGCCTTGTTAGAATATAACAGGGTCTAAATAAGTAAAACAATAAAAAAATAATAAAAGATAAAAAATAAATTGGGTGCAAAGCTTTTGAAATACAACTTATGTGTGTGTGTGTGTGTGCGCGCGTGTGTGTACATATATGAGTGCATGTGCATGCAGGTTTGTGAAAAAGAGAAAGAGGAGCTGAAAGAAAGAGATGGAGAAATGCAAAGGAAAAGACACAGAGACAGATAGACACGGAGAGATAGAGGGCAAGAAAACACAGAGGAAAATGACACAAAGAGAAACAGAAACATAGAGAAACACAAAGACTGAAAGAGACTGAGGATGACAGACAAGTGAGAGAAAAAGAGAGACAAAGACAGACACAGGTTAAAGACAGAAAGAGATTGAGAGAGAAAATTGGGGAAAAGAGTACGAGAAAGAGAGGGAGGGAGCACTACAGAGAAAAACAGAAGGTAAGAATGAAAGCCAACAGGATGCTCATGATTTATTGAAAAGTGATTTCTATTGCCTGTGTCTCTTACCTTCCTGTTTTCCGGGAAGCTGTTTCAAAGAACCTGGTCCTGGAAGCCACCCTGCAAACAGAAGTCAACCAAGTCACATGAACTGTTCCAGAATACATGTTACAACCAAGGGCAATGGAAAGAGCAAAAGACTGAACCATCTTGCCTTTGCTGCCAAAAGGCCTAGATTTTGGAAGAATTCAAAATATCAGAATGTGAAACGGCCCAGACTCCACAGGCAACCCCCGACCCCCAGGGCATAGATGATAGCATTTGTTCCCTGTTGGTCTAGAATGATCTAAGTTTGTTGCCCATTCTGATTTTTCTGAAGAGAAATAAGTGAAACCAGTCTTTGGTTTCCAAGTGTAATTTTTGGCATTTTGTAAATATACTCAGCTAATTAATTGAAGCTGTGGAGACTGTTGTTCTTATTTCTCCAGTTTTACACTTATGGAAAATAAGAGATACAGGCAAAAGACCAGAAGGCAGTATGCTGACAGAGGTCACTGGCTGAGGAGAAGCAAGGCAGACTAGCTATGGCCAAGCAAGACTGTCCCTGAGCAGAACAGGTTCTGCCTGGAAGCAAGGGAGCTTTGGGGGGCAGGGGGGAGAAATAACCCAAACAATGTACGCACATTGCGTACAGACTGTCCCTGAGTGCCACTTTGGTCCCGTTCTCACTGCTCCTTCCCTGGTTCCTTGGCTGCTGGCTGGCAGCTCAGGCCCTATTCTGAGAGGCTCTCTGGTGAACCTGAGTCATTTTGGAAGATTTTAAAAAAGTGTGCCCTTTGCTTATAAGAAAGGAAGAAAATAAAAGCCCAAGTATAATGAAAAATCTGTTCATTAAATTACTTTAAAAACCAGTAGCATAATAAGAAAAGAAATTTCCAGAGCCAAGTGCACTAAAAACAGGAAGTAATTTTTATCACCCTGCAGAGATCATGGCAGTGAAGAAAAATAGGTCTTCTTAGCAGACTTTGAACCGGTTCAAAGTCTTCATCTTTAGGGAAATCTCTAAAGGGAAATACTCAAACATGGCAGGCCTGTAATCCTCCTCTGGAACACAGAGTGAATCATGCTCCAGAGTTGTGCACTGCATACACATAAGAGCCATAGAGATAGTGATCCCAAAAGCATTCCTAATGCTTATAGCTCAGGCTGAAGAACATCATCACTTACACAGACGAAAGGATTTCCCCTGCATTGCCAGCCACAATATCTGGCTTTTGGGAAGTAGCTACCCGGCAGGGAGGGTCAGGGGGTCTCACTGGAGGACGGATGATGGTTGGCTTTTCTCCTGGAGGTCGCACTTTACTGAAACTCTCAGTATCCCCTAGAAGAGAGAACACCACTTGAACAGTTAGCCAGATGGAACACTACACATGAACAGGAACCCACTATTGGGGTAACCTGGACCACTTTCCTTGGCCCTCATTTCTTCTTGGTCACCAGCAACTCTTTTTCTTTTGTAGATCTTCTGGCAGCTGTCCCTTTAGAAAGCACTTGTTTGAACCTAATACACCTTGGGTTTCCTAAGGTATATGATTTCCTAAGTTTCCATTTCCTCGGCTATATAATCAAGAGCAGTAATACACTATCTTAGCATGAAATTAGCTACTAATATGTTTAGAATAGTGCCAGGCACATAGTAGATGCTTAGTAAATGTTTGATGATGAATTTGAATTTAATAAATTCATCATCACTAAAATCCAGGTCCTTTTCACCAGGCCTTGGCTGTCATAATACTCTCCTAAATCAGATTCTTAGCTCCACATTTCTAGTTTCTAGGTTAGTCAGAAAAAATAAACGTAATTGTTTTATAAAATGGTTCTGGCAGGAGTGTAGTAGCACTATAAACTGGGCTTATTCTATCTAATATCCATCTCAAGCATTCTGGAACAATCTGGATGAAACACAAAATCATACATGTGAGATAGTTTATACTTGTTGATCCGATAATTCCACTTTAAGGAACAGACCCAAAACAATTAGTCCAAGAGGAGGAAAAAACATAACAAAAACCAACTGGCAGAAAAACATGCATCTTAACAGCAAAAAGTCAAACCCAACCACAAAGGCTAACCAAATAATTCAATTCTTATAAGCATTTAGCCAACACATATTATGCACAAACTGACAAGAATTTGAACATGGTCAAAACAAAAATATGCATATGAAATATCAAGTGAAAAACATCAGCCAGGTGTGGTGGTGCACGCCTGTAATCTCAGCTATGCTGGAGGTAGAGAATGGGAGGATCATGTTTTCAGGTCAGACAAGGCAAAAATGTTAGCAAGACCCCCCAATCAATGAATAAGCTGTGTATGGTGGCGTGTACTTATGGACCCCGTTATGTAGGAAGCATAGGTAGGAGGACTGTAGTCTGAGGCCAGCCCCAGGTCAAAAAAAACCCCATGAGATCCTATCTGGGAAAAGAACTAAATCAAAAATGGCTGGTGGAGTGCTTCAAGTGGTAGAGCAGCTGCTCAACAAGCACAGGGCCCTGAGTTCAAAGCCCAGGACTACCAAAAATAAAAGGGTCACAAAAAGTGCTCAAGAACTGATGAACACAATATTGAAATAGACATGTGCAAACATGCAAGGATGTAAGTAGATTTTGATATTCAATTTTTAAGGTAAACATAAAAACACTAAATTGAAGCCACATAATATCGCTTTAGGTTTTACTTTAAATTTGCACTGTGTTCCCTCTCCTTCAAGACCTTCCCAGCAGCTCTAAAATGTACAGGGTAAAGTTCAAACTCCCTAACATAAATTCAAGGCCTTCTATGAGCTGGTCTCAAATCACTGTCTGAGAGACTAACCCTGGACTCTTAACTAACAGCTCTGCTCTATCAAACATGTCTCACTGCCCCCATCAAAGCAAGCCCTTGAATCTTCTTTTTCAGCAAGATATTATGCTGTAGTACAAATTGCTGGGAGTCTATAATTGGGCAGGCCTGGCTTGGAGGCTTTGTTCTGCTACTTCCAAGCTGTGGGACCTAGATAGTTGCTTTACCTCTTTACTATCATTTTCTCATCTTGAAAATGGGTATAATAAGGTGACTGACCTATAAATAGTGCCTAGCACACATCAGGGGAAGTAAATGTCAGATTCTGTCCTGCTTCTTTTCCTATCTCTATGTGTTCCTGATCTCATGTCACCTGCATTGTAACCATCCCTTAAGACCCAGCCCAAATCTTTCCCCTCTGAGCACTCTAGCAGAGTAGGCATACAGAAGTTCTATCCAGGTAAATATTCCCAAAGTGCTTTACATTGCTCTGTGTGCACATCTTTAAACTTACCCACCTACGATTCTGGTGAAATAGATATGAAAAGAGAGGATGAGAATAAGTATTAATGAAGGAGTGACCAAACATTACTCATGCACACACATATAAATTCTGTCTCCCCACTTGGTCTACATCTTACATTTATGGACACACAATATGCCTTAATGCTAGGCTGGGTATACAGAATTACATCATAAAAAAGAAACCAAAATAATAACAATCTATTTTTCTAACAAATTTTGTACTGTTCAAAGCACTCTCCCACATGATAGCTATTTGATATTCGTAATAATCTTGGGAGGAATGGATAGGTCACATATCATTCCTGTTTTATAGAAAAGGAAACTGAGGCTCAGAAAGGTGAACCAACTCATCCACAACCATTAGTTAGTGAGGACTTCAACTCATATCCTCTTTCTACATCCACTGTTTTCTCCTGTGTCTGCTGTCTTGTTATTGGTAGTAATATAAAATTATAAAGGATAATATTAGTGATAATGATAATACCAGCATAAAATCTAGCTACATTTTATTGAGCACCTGTTCTTTTCCAAGTAATGGAACTCAGTACAAGTAACTGTGCTCAGTGCTTTATGCACATTTTTCTTATTTAACATTGGCATACTTGTGCAGAAAGTATTATCCGTTTTCTACAGTTGAGGGAAAGAGACTTGAAGATGAGAAGTAAGCTCATAGTTTATCAGCAATAGATCCAGGTCTATCTGATTTCTGAGGCCCATGTAGTCTCAACTATTAGTGACCCAGTGGTTTTCAACCCTGGCCACACATTAGGAATGCGTGAAGAGCTTTAAAAATTCTGTAATACCCAGACCTCATCCTCAGAGATCCTAATTTAATTGATTGGGGTAGGACCTGTGCATAAGTATTTTCAATGGTCCCCAGGTATAGCCTGGGTTGAGACCCCTAGGCTACATGGCACTGCTTCCTCACTGCATGCTCCGGATTACTGGAGCTGACAGTGTTGTTCCATTTCTACTGATTATCAGAGGAAGAAAAGAACGATAAGCCACACTATCACAGCCAGAAAAACATTTCCACACGAAGCAGTGTCCATCCTAGGGCTGCCATTTCACTTGATGAGTGAACCAGATAACATTCCCCAAATATGAAACCCATTCATTCTCAAGCTAAAGCCATATCCAAATGGACATCAACGTAGAGCCTTAGAAAGCAAACATCATTAACCTTGTATCTGTCTAGGCCCTTTATTTGCAGCTCCAACTTGATGATTCACTATAAGTCAAGCTTTCAAGTATCAGCAAAGAGTTTTATTGGCTAAAAGACCCCAGTGTTGTTCTTTCTTGCCTCTAATTTGTCTCAGTCACAGTTAAGCTACAATATCAAACTGGTGAGACAGGCAGGGAAGTCATATAACTAGGAGTCAAGAAACCTGGATTCTAGTGTTAGTACTAAAACTAACTTGTGTAGCTATCAGTAAATCATTTCTCTACCAGTACAATAGGGAGATTAGACTGTTTTACAGATGAACTCAGTTTATGATACATGTTTGTAGACCTCTACCTCTTCCTGCAGACTTTTACATGTAGCTTTTGGAGTATTGGAAGGCCCAATTTTTTGTTTCTTTTCTGTCTCTCTTTTTTCTTCCTTTCCTTCCTTCCCCCCTCTCTCCCTCCCTTCTTTCTCTTCCCTCCCTCTCATATATTTACATTTCATGGCTCCCTGTTGCCTGCAGAACATACCCAGAAATGTTTAACCTGGCATTCACTATCCTCTTCCATTTGGCTTCAGCTATCCTTTTTGATCTAGCTTTCCACCATAAGAATCACATATCCTACAGTCCAAATAGTGTTATTTATTGTTCCATGCACAAATCTTACAATTACTCATCACTTTCCAAGATGCTCTTTATCCTATTCCCGCATGCCCAAATTTGTATCCGCTTAAGTGCCATGTCTCTTAGGAAGCCTAAGATGCTCCAAGTTCCTTTCTCTGGCTGTTAAAGTACTGATCGTCTTGTACTTTGAATTCTGTACTTTGGCTCTTTATTCATGGCTCTATCTTTTCTATTAGAATGGGAGCAACTTGAGAGTAAGAGCCAGATGGGATTCGTCTCTGTATTACCCAGGACCCAAGTAATTTGCTTTGCGTGTTACTGGCAAATAATCAACAAATATTTACTGAGTAAAGAAAAATGTAGTCCAGCCTATTAGAAGGACGATGGAGAAATCTTTCCCTTTTTAGGTCTCTAGCTGGGCTGAAGGTGACACACACAAACATGATGCCCCAAGCTTTAGGGCTATTCTGAAATGTAAAGTGAAAGGCATTCCATACACTGAGAGTTTCATGAGGGCTTTTGTGCCCCGCCTTATGCTCTCACAATGAGTGCATGCAAATGATCTGACAGAGTCCCTCCGGGGTCTTAAAACCAAACTGGGGAGAGAAGGCATACTCATGGGATAGAAGTGTGAACACTACAACTCAGTGTCCACAAACTTGAGCCAAACTTGTGTGCTCAAATTAGCGAGGTAAGGGAGAGGTCTCTGGAGCACGATTGTCAGAAAGCTTCCTAGACCAAATGAGACTTGAGCTGGACCTAGAAGAATGGCTAAGAATCCTTCCTTGTCCCTTCCCTCAGTGATGGCTTGCCTCTTTCTGGACGTTTCATGTGCATAGGCAGACACAGGGTGAGGGTGGAAATATAGCTTTAAGGCTCTTTTATACCATCTTCATGTTAGGTTTGAGGCTTCTCCTTGAGGCTTCTCCTAGGCTCTAGAATACAGAAGAGCAGACACCCCCATCTCCCATTCCTTCCATTTCCTAAGAGCTTAGTATTACTACTAGTTCTATCACTAGTATATATAGAACTAGTATTACTACTAGTTCTATCACTTCTTAAGCCACTATTTTTGCTTTGAATAGCTCATCTGACTTAATCCCCACAAAAAGCTTGCCTGCAGTGGAGGTACTGTCCCCACTTCCAGTGAGGAAATTAAGCTCAAAGAAGTAGAGCTGACCTAACTACAACCGTGTAGCTAGTAATGGTCTCTTGTCAAAGCAAAACAACTGCTACCATTTACTGAGCACTCAGGATGGGCCAAGCACACAGATGTCTCACTTCACTGTTACAGCAATCCAATTGTCAGAATTATTATCCTCATTACAGAAATGAGAAAAGAAAGGCTCGGCAAGGTTATGATTTGCCCAAAGTCTCATAGCTAGAAAAAGGCAGAGCCAGGATTCAAACTCACATCTGTAAGACTCTAAAGGCTGGGCTTTCAACTACAAAATCTCTCAAACTTATGGTCTTTCTACCAAACTGTACTTACTTTTAATTTCTTTTTAACCTTAGCCACAACCTAGGCTTCACTACAGATTTGATCTCCCTCTCCAGCCCAATCTGTTCACTCCCTCCCCAGGCTGTCATATGATGGTAACCAAAGAATCTTAGCATTTGTAGATTTCTTGGGACCTAATGGCCTTGTCTTCAACCCTAAGCAACTTTCTTCTACCTTCCCTTATACTTATTTACATCCAACCAGAGGGCAAAGTAGCAGGAGGTTGTTTACTCTTGTACATTCTCCCAGTGTTTCAGAATGATCTCTTTCTTTCTAGGACACGCCTCCATACTCATCTTAAAGTTGTCCTTCTCTCTTAGCCATTAATTATCTTTGTGGAAAAATTAGAAGTTAGACTCCAGGAAAGGGAGGGAATGAAAACCAAATAGTAGATCATTAAAGCATAATGAGTCCAAACAAGAAAATGTGGATAGCAGCCAGCAACGCCCATTAGTGCAGGAGAAAGTCTACTCCTAATACTTTTAGAGCAGATGCAAATGCCACTCACAGCATTAGTCACTCCAGTGGAGAACTGATGGCTCTATGACCGAGCAAGGTCTTGCAAGGATCCTTCATCCCACTACATGGAGTCTTTTCTCTCAAGACAGAGGAAATAAGCTAAGAAGGGCTCTAAACCCATTTGTCATAGGGACCCAGTGTGTGGTATGCTCTCCACTTTTACCTCAATACCTCAGGCAGAATGAAGGGCTCCTTGACCCATGTTCTTACTAGAATTTATTCTCACCCCTACTAGAACATGGATCACACTGGGCTGGGACTGACTGCTTGCATGCCAACCTCATCATGAACTTTTGGAAGGCAGGATCATAGCTTTTCACCTTGGTCTCTCTCCATTGCATAGGTCTATGTCTGGATAAGTGTGCAAATACATGTACACAGATGGTATATAACTCTCCTTCCTAGTCATGAATCCCTCTATGGAGCTACACACTTGCCTTTTGTAAAAGTAGGAATGGTAAAAGGCAACAACATCAAATGAAAGAAAAGGGGTCATATATAATTTTGCACCTCCCAAATGTGAGTCCCTGTTAGAAAAACAGAAAGGAAAAAGAGGTAAAGCAGCTAAAGAAATAAGAATATGGTATAAAGAGTCCTAATCTTGGACCTAAGAAGCCTAGGTTTGGGCCTCATTTCTAACCTGAGTGACTCTGGGAAGATGTTTCATGTCTCTGAGCCTCAGTCTTCCCTCCATGAAATGAGGAGAGTAAAACCTACCTTAGAGGACTATTCAACTCCATACCTGGAATAGAAAAGGGCCCTGAACAAAATTATCAGCAAACAACATTGATTTTATTGCCAAGTTGATTATCATGGAACAAAGCAATTTAACATGGACCGTGCTTTTGTAATTTTTAATTGTTGAGAAAAATGTGGAGCATTAGCAAGTCCACTCAAATGTGGATTATTGTAAAGGGTGAAGATGAGAGGAAAGGGCAGTGGTACATTTAGATCACTAAAGCAATGAAGCATCCTGAACAACAGAGCTGAAATGGAGTGACAACTGGGAGGTGCAGAAGTCAGCTGAGGTGATAGCACTCTCCTGATACTGCCATTCAGGCTGCTGGCCAGTACCAGGAGCTAACAACTATCAGCTTAGCTCAGGGGTGGAGCTATTTGCAACATCTGCTTAATAAATAAGTGTTGTGATGCCTAGGAATCTACCACAGAGCAGCAGCCAAAATGGGGAAGGAGCGAGGGCAGCAGAGTGAAGAGGTAGAGTGGGTAAGGTTCAAAGAGGCAACTACATCACAGGCTTGGCTAGTCCTCTGTTAAGGTCTAAACTATCCCAGTTCAGGCTTTGAAAAAAAATCTGTATCACCCCAGCCTGTTGCTAACTGATTTAGGACCGAAAGCAATGTCTGGGGATCCTGCAGCCTAGATTTAGATAGTCTGGCTGATAGTGGACAAGTCAGATCAGTATTAGCATTAACTGACACCATTAGATCATAGCATCTGCCACCAGCAGCCCAGGGGACAGGAGGGGGAAGAAGGGGCAGAAGGGATGGCACTGGGATTGAACTCCGCAGTAGATGGTGGAGGCGGAACTGATTAGGAGGGCTGAGTTACTGTGTGTGCTAAGCTGATAGGATCTGGCTGTTCTCAAGGCTTGCCAACAGGCAAGACAAATTTTACCATGAGTATAAGTGGAGTTACCTAACTTTCTACCAGATTGATATGAAGGTCAATATATAACTTATAAACTGAAGCAAATGACTACATAGAATTCTGACCTTTCTTGGCTGCCTCCAAGGAGAGGCACATTTCAGGGAGGGAGGGTAAGGCAGAAGGAGGGAATTAATCTCATATTTTGAATGTTGATTACATGCCAGATGTTTTATTTGTTATTCCCTTTAATCCTAGCAATAATTCTGTAGGGTGAGCTAATTCTCCCATTTGACAGATATGGAAAGCAAGTCACAAAACGGTTAAATAACTGTGATCACACAGATGCATCAGGAGATCAAACCAAAGAATTCAGGGTCAATTACACCATGGAAATTGTACTGGCTCCAAACAGTAGAGTTTTTACTAAACTGTGCTCTAAGATAATGCTATCAGCCAGTACCGAAGTTGTTCTTTTCTGTGCCACAATTCATGGCAGAACGTTTACCCTGACCTCAAAAACAGAAAAGTGCTTTACCTGGAAAAAGGACTTGTTTTCCCTTAAGAACTTAGAATTATGTAACCATTGAGGTTTCTTTTTGTTTTCTTTAGAAAGTTTGGAGCCAATACTGTGATGCTATTTCAGCAAAAATGTAAGGCTTCATGGCAAACGTTTTGCATACCAGTTCCGTTCCTGTCATTTCCCTACTATCCTCTCCCCCCCACCCCCCCACCCGCCATCCAAGGCCTCATTTTTCTTGCTTGCACTCTAGAATCTCACGCAGAAGTTGGCAAACTATTTGTGTAAAGGGTCAGAGAGTTAACATTTTAGGCTTTGCAGGCCATAAGCTTTGTGTTTCTCCTAACTCAATTCTGTTGCAGTTTGCACTGTGTGAGCAGCCCTGGATGATATGTAAATGTAGGAGTATTTATGGCACAACGCTGAATTTCATATGTCATGAAATATTAGTTTTTTTATGTTTTTTGAAACACTTAAAAATATATAAAAAAAATTCTTAGCTTGTGGGCCATATAAAGAGGCAGTGGGTTTTATTCATAGTCTGCCAAGCTCTGCCCTAAACCTCAAGAGGCTAGGGACCCTGTATGTCTTTTATTCATATGTTCTCAGCATCTAGAATGGGGCAAGGTACATGGTTAATACTCAATAAACAGCTGTCAAATAAATTTTCTTACTCAATTTTTTTGCAGTGCTAAGGAGAGAACCCAGAGGCCAAACACATGCTAGACAAGCACCCTACCACTGAGCTTCAGCCCCAGTCCAGCCGAACTATTTTTAGGCTTTTACATTTGGCTATATTGTAAAATGTCTTAAAACCTTTTCAGAATAAGACAAGATATAAACACATAAGGCACACATTTAGAAGGTCAACTAGCTACAAAGAGAGCCAGAATTTGGCGTCAAGACTTTCTGATACTGAAGTCCATATTCTTTCCATTATACTGTACTATCTTGATAGAATTATATCCTCTAAAACTCCCCTCTGGCTCAACCCCAACCTCTCAACATGAGCTTCCATGTGTATAGCCAACTAAATTTGTAGAGGTCAGCCACATCTTGAATTTGTAATAATTTTTAAAGTTCAGAGTTTTGCAGAAGTTGTGCCCCTTCATTTCTATTTCTCTCAAACTAGAAACTGAAAATGTAAAAAACAATGGTTCACAGATTCAAAGCTTCTTATTAGAAGGTAAAGTGATAGTTCTGCCTTTATGGAAACAATACAGACTTTGGCACCTGCCAGATGTGATTATATTTAATTCCTGGCTCTGTAGTTACCAGCTGCGAGTCTTTAACAAGTCACATATATCTAGGAGCCTCAGTTTTTTAATTAAAAAGTAAAAATAATATATTCTTCACAGAAGGGTCATGTGAATAAGAAACAGTATATCAGCACCTAGAACAGTGCCAGGCACATAGAAGATAGAAACAGTAATTAAAGTAAAAAATTTATTATTGCTTATCATTTATTCCACAAATAACAAGCGCCTACTATGTGCCAGTCCACCATTGTTCTTGGCACTTGGGATATGGAGGAAAATATAACAGGCCAAAACCCCTGCCCTCATACAGTGTACATTCTAGTGATTGTTGCAAATGGCTTTTATGGTCTCACCCACTATTCCAGTGAGAGTGCTAACAGAATGAGAACAAAAGACCTCTTCAATCCCAGATGCAAAGTAGTTGGGTTCAATTCTGCTTCCCACAAGATTACCAAGCACTTACCCTCCTTATGGTGAACTTGGGGCCGGGGAGCCGGTCTCTTTATGTGGAAAGAGGAGTTCTTGGTGGGCCCAGAGCCCGGCACAGGTCCATTGGTGGCCTTTGGTGTAGCCTTGGTCGCTCCATCCTGTAGCCTAGACACCAACTTCCCCACATCCACCTCGGGGCAGGGCTCCAATTTGCCATCTGAAACAGGCCTGCTTGGGGACTTCCTCCCAGGATCAGTTTCCCCACTCCTCTGAATAGGTAGTTTGAGATGTTGTGGCAGCTTGGGAGCTTCCAGGGTGCTAGTGATAGTACCATTGGGTGTTTGATGTTGGACTTCATCTGGGAAAAGTTGGTGCAAAGAGGAAAGATTAATGATGACCTTTAAAACCATTTCATTTTGATACATGCATACACAGTTTTGAAAATATGTACACATTTTCAAAATTGCTATCACTGTGGGATGTAGTCCCACAGTCTCTGCCCTCTCCAATTCATGTGGAGTTACAGGTCCCATTCAAATAGGGAATTTAACTCAAGATCCAAGTATGATTTTTACCACCATAATTCAGTAGACCACAATATACCAAGTTGTTTTATTCAAAGGGAAATGTAATTCAAAAGGGACTTGGAGTCTCCAATCAATTGCATATTCTATTTTTCTAAATAAAGACATCAGTTAATTTTTGTCCATTTGTCTCAAAAGTACTGTGTTAAGGTCTCTCAAATTTTGAGTTAATAAACATAACAGAATTTAAATTCTTTCTCCACCCCCATAAAGAAGCCCTGAAATAGACACTATGTTCTTCCCCCAGCCTTTGCAATCTACAATTTCTCTGACATTGACACATGCTTTTTAGTGATTTTGAGTCTTAAAGAGACCGTAATTAAAACTAGAGACTCTCTCCATAGAAAAATTATGCTACACAAATACAGTAAAAAATTTGAAAACTAATTTTAAGTGATTCACAGGGCCCTATGAAACCATCAATGAACTCCTAGATTGGTAACACCTATAGTAAGAAATCTGTCACTTTCCTTTGTAATATAAAACTAGATGGGAGTTTGTTACTTTAGAACATAGGTTCTGCTCAGCACAATGAGATCTGAGAGAGTTAGTGACTAATTGTAATACATGTTCTTATTTGGAGCCTGATTTTTTTAAATGAGATAATAGAAGAATTTAGATGCTGACCAGATCATTGATTTTTTTCCCCCAGTAATTTTGGCAGGTAGTGATCTTAAGGAATTATTTAATTTTACTTACTTAAAAAGAGTCCTTATCGTTTAGAGATAAGCACTACAACATTTACAGGTAAAATGAGATGACAACTGGTTGGGGAATGGGTGGAAAGTAGAGATGAAACAAGATTGTTCAGACAAAGAACAACTTGGAGGAGAGAAAAATCAGGGTTTTTCTAAGCAAATATAAACAACAACTAATTTAGTTTGGCTTAGATGAAAGGTGTGAGTAGCTGGAGATTAGGTTAAGCTTGTTCGAGCTAAATTATGAAGACCACGAATGTCACACACAGGAATAGGAACTTTATCTCTGAGTCACAAAGGACAAGAACTTTTGTCAGAGGGTGGGGCCATAAAAGCAGCACTGTTAAATCTGTGTTTTTGCACTTCTTGAAAAAAGGGAGAGGAGGGAGGAGGAAATAGGAAAATAATGGATGAGGTGAACTTGTTCCAAGTATACTGCAGACATGTATGGGATAATCACAATGAAGGCCCCCTTGAATTTTTCATGTGCACTAATTCAAAAGTAAAATAAAAATTGAAAAATATCTCTGTTTTTAGAATATCCTTTTAGGGTCATTGTGAAAAGCCCAGATTAGACCAGAGAGATGAGAGGTAGGGAGTCCTGTTATGGGACTGCTGATGAGGAGCTAACCTGGAACAGCATCAGCAAAGAGAGACAGAGTCTCTGTTACAGAGGTAGAATGGGCTTTCGGTGCTTATATCCCTCCCTTAATCATGGTAGGACTGTGGTTGCAGTAACATCCAGCTTAATCCTTGTCCCTGCTTCAATGTTACTTTCCCAGGATGGGGCCAGGCCCTTGTGTGGCCCCAATATATCAAAGAAACCCAATATTGGCAGGAGTGACCCTAAAGGAACCCGGCTCCAGGGCAAGGAATTGAAGTGGTAGGACCAATGGGGAACCTCACAAAGTGAGACAGTATAAGCTGGTCAAGGATTCTCCATAAACCCAGGGAAAATGGCATTATGACAGGAAGCAGAGTGGCTATGGTGGGCAGACTGAGCCGATTTTCCAGACAAAAACTAAAACCACAAAGAAAATTGTGTTGAGCCCAACTACAGATCTAAGAGAACGCTGAAGAGATGCAAGCATTTTGAATTGGTAGGAGATAAGAACAGAAAGGGGCAAGTGATCCAGTTCTAAGCTCCATGTTTTGTTTTTTATGAAGAAAATAAAATCATAGAGTCAATTTGACTTCATTTCTTGGGCCTTTGGGAGAGAAAAAACTAGAGGCATCAGTAAAATTTTCCTTAGGAAACTTGTGCTTCTTGATTCTTCTAGATACTATCACTTTATGATAGAATCTGAATGGTTAAGTTTACATTAAATGGAATTATCTAAAAACAGAGGGAGTTGGGGGAAGAATGAACAGGGCTTAGATACAGTATGTAAAGCAGTCCAAGACGCTGCTAGAAAGATTCACTGAAATGATATTTACAAAGTGAATAATAAGTTTGGAGGTAAGATACTGAATTGTTATTTGTAAAGAACAGTGGTGAGTGGAAGGATCAGTTCCTTCTTAGAACAGTATTTAGACAGTTTATGGGAAGTATAATGGAGGTAAATGAGCTTTAGGATAAGACAGGTAGATGCAAATTACTGTTTTGCCATTTGGTAATGGTAGCAATTAGGCAAACAACTTGCCCTCTCTGAGCGTCTAATGACTTCCCTATAAAGAGGAGCTCACGTAAGAATGCAGAAGATTAAATGAGATCATAGATTTACAACCAGTTAGGATGGCTAGAAACAAAAAGTCAGACTATAACAAGTATTGGCAAGGCTATGGACAAATTAGAACCCTCATCCATTGGTGGTGGTTAAACAGCATACCTGCTTTGGAGAATTGCTTAACTCTTCTCTAAAAATTCACATATAGAGCCACCATGAGACAACCCAGCAAATCTAGTTCTTGGTATATAATCAAGACAATCGAAAACAGACATTCATGCAAAAACCTGTGCATGCATGCTCACAGCAGCATTATGCATAATAGCCAAAAAGTGAATAGAACTCAAATGTTTCCCAACTTTTAGACTGGTAAGTAAAAAAGGAATGAAATACTGACACGTGTGACAACATGGATGAACCTAATACATTGTAAGTGAAATAACTTGGTAGCCACAAATGATTACAAAGTGTACAATTCCATTTATATGAAATGTCCAGAACAGGCTAATCTATAGATAGATAAAGTAGATTAGTCATTGTCATGGGTTGGGAGAGGAGGGAGTTGGAAAGTACAGGGTTTCTTTGAGGGGTAAATGCAAATCTTCTAAAATTAGATAGTTGCACAGAATATACTCAAACTACAGAACTATGTAATTTAAAAGGGTGAATTTTATGTTTTGTGATCCATATATCAATCTAAAAAAGTAAAATATAAATGTCTAGACTGGGTAGCCTCACTGAGATCTGACACAAAGCCCTCACCACATAGAGGAGCAAATTGAGCCTTAGAGAGAGATACAGCTAGTGGCCAAGATGAAATTAGACTTCAGACCTACTGACACCCAGTTCACTCAATTACTGCACTCATTAATTGAGTACTTATCATGTACCAGGTATTCTGCTGGTGCTCAGGATACAGTGTGTCAAAAGTTTCTGCTGGTACAGAATTTATATTTGGGGAGATGGTAAATAAGCAAATTTACTACATAATGATGAGTTTATAGAAATAGAGTAGGCATTCAATGTTCCTGAATTCAAGCTGCTTGAATGGCAGCTCATCTCCTCCATGGAAGTGTGCCCTTAAGCTACATAATCCCTTTTTCCTCATTGTTCTTTATATATCCATTCATTCACTCCAAAACTATGTACTGAACACATGCAACCTATCACAGGAATTATTCTACTGGCTGGCAATAAAATAGATCTTACATTCTAATGGGAAAGGCATAATAAACATGTCAACAAGTAGTAGCAGGCAATATAAATAAAACCTAGCAAGGCAAAGGGACAAGGGTGATTGGAAGAAAAAAAAGAACTATTTAACTAGAATGTTCAGACAAGGTCTCTGTGAACTGACATCTGGTTGAAATCTGAAGGAAGGGGTGTGGCTTTTGAGTTTCTGGAGGAAGACTATTTAGGGCCAAGACAACAGCAAAAGCAAAGGTCCTTAGGTAAGCCTGATGGCCATAGGAATAACCACATCAATGAGATTACGGAAGAGGGAGCAAAGGGGACAGTGAGACCATGAATTGCAGAATTGAAGGTCAGAGAAATAAGCAAAGGTCATCCAATACAACATGAAATGTAAATTTTATTCTAAACATGAAGCAAGGTCACTAAAGGTTTGGAGCAGAGGGAATGATATGGTCTGCTTTACAGTTTTTAAAGGACCTGGAGTTTACTGGCTGTAAGAGAACGGATTAGAGGCAGCAAGAAGGCAAGTAAGCACAATAAGTAAGAGAAAATGGAGGCTCAGCCAGGATGGAAGAAGAAGCAGGAAAGCACCTGGATTTAGCTTGTGATATGTACGAATAGCAGGCAAGAATTGCTGACAGATCAGATGTGAGGAAATGAAGGAAGAGAGTCATAAAGGATGATCCCAAAGCTCTGGACCTTAGCAAACAGATCATTGGGGCTGCCAGGTACTTAGATGGGAGCGATCAGAGTAGGAGTAGGTTAAGGAACTGTAGGGAATCTTAGAATTGTGTTTTGGGCTGCAGAATGTAGCTCAGTGGTAGAATGTGTGCCTACCATGTGGAAGACCCAGGGTTTCATCCTTAGCATCAAAAATAATTTTGCTTTGTACATTCTGAATTTGAGATGCCCATGAGTCATCCAAAGAAAATAGTCAAGCAGGAAGTTCGAGGTGACAACACAGTCCCACAGATAAAAATTTGGAAATCATCTTCAGTGTTTAAATGATGTTTAAAACCAAGAGACTTAATGAAATCATGTAGGAAGATAACATAGAGAAGAAAGGTGAGAAAAATGTTCTAGGACCTTCCAACATGTTGAAGTTGGAAAGAGAAGAAAAACCAGCAGAGGAGACTGAGACATAATTTCTAGTGAGGAAAAAAAGAGGGTTTAGTGTCTGGAAAGCCAAGTTCAGTGATTCAAAGAGGAGGAGTTAGTCAACTGTGTCAGATGCTGCTCACAAGCTGGGTGTGATGGCTTAATCTTGATTGGACACACCTCTGGGTGTGTCCATGAGGGTATTTCCAGAGCAGATTAGATCATGAGGACTCTGGCCTAATGGTTTTAACCCACTGATGGACTCAAAACTTGAAGTGACTGTTGGGAAGTAGGAGAACTGTGAAAGATGGAGCCTATCTGGAAGAAGTAGGTCACTGGGAGTGTGGCCTTGGGGGCTATATCTTGCCCTGGCCCCTTCCTGTTATAGCTCTGTTCTGCTTCCTGTCTACCATAATGTGAGCTGGGTTCTACTCTGTCATGTCCTCCCTGTTATGATGGAATGAAAGCTCTGAAACCAGAAGCAAAAAAAATCTTTTCTCCCTTAAGTTGTTTCTGTCAAGTATTTGGTGACAGTGATGATAAAACTAACACATTGGGTATGATAGCAACAGCAGAGTGGCTGTTTGGTTTGGCCACTTGGAAACTATTGATAGCCTTGACATAAGTGGTCTTGGTGCAGTAGCAGGGGGCTGAAACCCATGCAGAAACGGTGCACTCTACATGCTAGCAATTACTCCATTGGGTGACATGTATTTGTTCACATACCTATGTCTCTCTTTATCCTACAAGCTCCTTGATGCCAGGGAATGTCATAATTTCATCTAGCACCTAGCACAGTAGCTGGAACATAGTAATTACAATCCACTTTAGCTTTACTTGAATTTAAAATCTCAGATCATGGAGAAAGCACCTTGCCCACACATTTCAGTGTATTGCGGACACCAATCTAAGAACATCTTGGATCCTCCCCTGGCCTTCCAAGGGACCATGATAGCTTCCTTTACAAACTCATCCCTGTCCTGTCAAAAATCAAATTCCCTCTCTGGGCACAAAGTATAAGCCTCACTTCTCCTGGATGATTTTAAGCCAAGGGACCAGGAAAGGTCTACCTTTGTATGGAGAAAAATGGCCACATCTCTACTTCTGCCCTTCAATATTCTCTCTGTGTCTAATCACCATTCAGAAGCTAATGGAGAAACCTTAGTACTGACCTTCTCCTTCATCCAGGGAAGAAGTATAGAAAACCGTCCTTTCTCGCAGCAAGCGTTTCGAAATTGTGATTGGTTTGTGCCTTCTTGCTGTCACTCGAGGTGGAGGCACTGGAGGTGCAGCACTTTCCTCAGGTGGACCTAAATAGATCTGTAAAGGGGTAATAAGCAAGATATCCAGGAGATGGTCAGGATAAATTTTTTTCTCCCTAATGCTACCCACCCTCTCATGGCTGCCAGCATTGCATCTAGTTTTTCATGTGAATATTAACATGGTTAAAGGAATTGGGGCATTTTTCTTAATCATTGTAACTGCTAGCAAGTGTTCAGACTTCTCCTACCTGTTGAAGACACAACCTGGCCTTCCTCAGTGCAAAGAGCACAGACAAAAGACCCAACATTAATTCTGGACTTTCCACTTACTGCTTGGAAGACTGTAGGGAATTTACCTTCTTTATCTGAGCCTCAGTGCCCTTCCTCATCTGTAAGATGGGGACAGCACCACCTACCTCATGGGATGTGGTAAGAATCAAGTGAAGAGTAATTATCAAGGTGTTCTGTATGGGTAGGGAGTGGGTCGCAGAAGGAGACTAGACACACCTACGTACACACGTACATACACATTTATGCACTCAGGATTTCTGACAGGACACCAAAGGGCCTAGGTATGTTATTTGTTTCAACGGAGAAATAATGATTGGCTGGGAAAAAAAAGAGGGAAGAAAACTTATCTTCCCTCCTTTATCATTTTGCTCTTTTAAAATTTTATACCATGGCATATTACCTAAATACCTAGAAGAAGCTAAAATTTAAAAGTGAAACTAAAATTCCTTAGACGTTATACAGAGTACTGGGGGAATTTATGAAGAGCTATGATTAGAATTTCTCTATACTATTCATGTGTACTTAAGGATTTTCCTCTTTCTGGGGTGACTGACCTCCTGGCCTGAGTGTGTACACTTTGAGATAACATATATATGTGGCGAGAGTAACAGTATCAATCTCAGTGATTAGCGTGAAGAGAAATGTCAGAGCTTAATAACCTCTCAGGCAAGGGTCACTATAGAAATTACATGGCTGGAAATGCCTGGCAGCCTGTGTAAAAGTTGGACAATAGACAGGAACAATGTGTGAACAATCACAAGTCAGTACACATCTCATGGCTGTAAGGAAGGGACAATATGACATAGCAGCAAGCAGATGGGCAGTCAGGCCACACAATTCTAGGTCATATCACTGGTTCTGCCATCAGTAATAATACCTAAATAGCTAGCATTTGCTCAGAGACTGTAATAGTTGTTACAAATATGCCTTACTATACCACAAACATACCAGGACCTTTGCACTGGCTGCTTCTTGTACCTGGAGTGTTCTCCAGATATCCTTCTATCTTGCTTTCTCTATTTGTCAGGTTGCTAGTCAAACATACCTTTCAAAGTAAGGCTTTCCAGGTTAATATAGCTAAGGTTGTGTGTGTGTGTGTGTATTTGAATTCAGGGCCTTGCACTTGCTAGGCAGTCACTCTACCATTTGAGCCATGCCCCCATTCCTTTGTGCTTTAGGTATTTTTTCCTAATAGGCCCTCACATTTATGCCCAGGCAAGCCTGGACCAGGCTCCTCCTAGTTACACTTCTCCATAGCTGGGATGACAGGCACAAACCACCACACGTGGCTATTGGTTGAGATAGGGTCTTGCTAACTTTTTGCCCAGGTTGGCCTTGAACCATGATCCTCCTGATCTCCAACTCTGAAGGAGCTGGGATTACAGGCAAGAGTCACCATGCCTGGCTTGTGTCTAAGTTTTGACACACCTCCCCATACTCAACACTTCCTATCTTCCTTCCCTGTTTTTGTTCCATTAGCATTCCATTGGTTTCTAAAATATGTTATTTAGTTATTCACCTGTTTCCTGACTAGATTTTAAACTTTATGACAGCATGTCTGCCATGTTCACTGCTCTACTTCTAGCACCTATAAGAGTGCCTGGAATTGCTGGGTCAAAAAGCAAGCACATTTATAATTATAATACACAAAGCCAAAGGCAACAGGATAGCTCTTTCAGTTTGAAACAAGGAAAAAAAAAAAAACATAGAAAAATCACCGGGAACAATGGCTTCTAAAACATTGGGAATCTGGCAATGAGCCCATGGTCCCTGAGAGACAGGAAAAATGAACCCCACTTGCAACCTGCAGAGAATTCTGCAGGTCACAGTACAAGAAGGGGAACTCAGGTGGAGCCCAGCAGCCTCCTTCAGTTGAGGAGATGAGTTGGGAGTGTGGAGTAGGTAAGAAAGTGAGAGCTTTCAAGGCAGAGTACCACAGAGCAGCTGTCTTTGTTCACTAGTTCAAAATATTGCTGAAACGATCAAGACGATCAAAACAGATATATTTTGTTCATAGGTAAGATGACTCAGTATTGTTAACAAGCAAATGCTACGAAAATTGATCTTCAAAATGAACATAACCCCTAAACAGCAAGTTTTGTAGAAATTACAGCAGGCTTTTTTGTAGAATTTAATAAGCTCATTCAAAACTTTACAGAGAAATGCAAAGAACTTAGCCAAAACAATCTTGGCGAAAAACCCCCAAAGTTGGAGGGCTGACACTACCTGATTTCAAGTCTCATTTTAAAGTTACAATAATCAAGGGCTGGGGATGTAGCTCAGTGATGGAACACCTGCACAAGGCCCTGGGTTTATCCCCAGTACCACACACATAGGAACTACAATAATCAAGACCGTGGTGGAATTGGTGTCAAGACAGGTGAACAGATCAATGGAACAAATTCCAAAATAGACTCACACATATTCAGATGACAAAGACAATTCAGTGGAGAAAGGATGCAATGGTGGTGAACTAATGTGACATTCATAAACAGTAGGATATGCAAAAAGAACTTCAATCAGTATCCTACCCCATATGTAAAAACACTCTCAGAGTTGTTCGAAACCCAAGTGTAAAAGCCAAAAGTCATAAAACTTTCTAGGAGAAAAATCTTTGAGCTTTAGGTTAGGCAAAGATTTCTTAGATACAAAGATTTATAAGAGAAAGAAATTGATAAATTGGGCCTCATCAAATTTTAAAATATGTACTTTTCTAAAACACATTGGTAAAGAGAATGAAAAATGGAACTGCAGGTTGGGTTAAAATACTTTCAAGAATGTATAAAGAATTCCCAAAACTCAGTAATAAGAAAACAAGTAAATCACTCTGAAAAAATAGGCTAACATTTGAGCCGACACTTTGCCAAAAACATATACACATGGTTAACATAAAAAGAAGTTCAATATCATTAGATCATCATGGAAATGCAAATTAAAACTACAATAAGATATGATGACATGCTCATTAGAGTGAGTGGTCAAAATTTTGAAATGACTGTCCATACCACATTGGGAAGAATATGGAGGAACTGGAACTTTCACTGTTGGTAGGAATGTAAAACTTGTATAGTGGGGGCTGGGGATGTAGCTCAGTGGTAGAGTGCTGGCCTACTATGTGCAAGAGCCTGGTTCTAGTCCCAGTACCACAAAAAAAAATGAAAATGGTTAAGTGGCAGAGTGAATTTTAAAAATATGACCCAATGAGACAGATAATTGGAATAGTCCTACAACTATTCACAATTTTGAATTCACAATTTAAAAACTCCCAAGGAAGAAAATTTCAGGCCCAGATGATTTAACAGAAGAATTATACAGAACATATAAAGAACTAACATGAATTCTATAGCCTGTTCCAGAAAGCAAAACGGTAAATTACTTAGGAAAACAGTTTGGCAATTTCCAGGTAAGTTAAGCACATAATTACCATGTGACCAAAGAAAACATATTAGCCATATAGACTTGTACACAAATGCTCATAGTGGCTTTATTTGTAATATTCTGGAACTGGATGCAATTCAAATGGCCATCAACTTGTGAACAGATAACTAAACTATGGTATATAGGAAGGAATAAACTATTGATTCATGGAACAACTTGAATTAACCTCAGAATAATTATGCTGAATAAAGAATTCAGAGCAAAAAACAGTACATGCTACATGATTCCATTTATGCAAATGAACCTATATTGACAGGAAGCTAATCTGTGGGTGCCTGAAGTGGGGTAATATGGGTGGATCAGAGAGGGGGGAGACTGCAAAAGGACAAGAAGAAACTTTCGGGAAATATGACCATGTTCATTGTCTTCATTGTGGAGATGGTTTCACAGATGTGTACATGTCAAAACATAAAGCTGTACATCCAAAGGGCACCTGCAATCCTCATTTTGACTTTGCTTAAGCATTGCACAGTTGCCCAGTCCATCTCTAACCATGCCTTTCCCATCCACTTTCTAATGATTGCTTTCTTGCTTCTCTAACCACTGCCCTGTCTCCTTCCCAGGCTCCCTCTCAATCTTGATCTTCTCCTGAATTCTGCTCTTAGCCCTCTCATGATCTCACGGAACCAGTCTTGCTTGCTTCCTCAGCAGTTTCACACACTCACAACTTACACTCCCAGACTTCCCTATTTGTTTCTATAGCAATATATCTAATTGCCTGCCCAATAGCAACATCGGATAACTCAGAAGTATCTCAAACTCAATTATTTCTGGACTTGAAAACATTTAATTATTCCTTTATAACTGCTTATAAAACGATATTAATGCCCAAGCCAGAAATCTGGACATTATTGTCCTAATATCTTCCCTCTCTCTCACATCCCACATCCACTTAGTCACCACATTCTACCAATTATACTTCCTTAACATCTCTCTGATCTATCCCTTCTGCTCAGTGTCACTGCCTTAGTGAAGAGTCTTGTGTCTCTTCCTGATTACTAATTGTAGTCTCCTAACACTTCCTTCTGCCTTCAGTCACTCCTTTATTTAACCTGTCCACCAAGTACACAGAGCAATCTTTCTAAACTCAAATCTCATTGTGTGACTCCCCTGCCCAAAATATTTTGTGACCTCATAATCTTTGGGACAATGTTCAAATCCCTTAGTTAGTGAAGGTGCTCCATAATCTGTCCACTGCCTGCCATCTTCAGTCTCTATCTCACCATATGCCATCATTATATTACAGCCATGCTAGAATTATCATTTGTTATGCTCTTAGTTGTTTAGTTCTTTGGTTTCTTACAGCTCTTCTGCTCTTTGATCTCCCAT